TTAGGGTTTGGGGTTTAGGGTTTTGGGGTTTGTAAAGGGTGAGGTTCGCAAGTCGCGAAGGGGTGTCTCGCAACGGTTTCGAAGAGTGTATATTACTTGGTGGTCAAGTGGTAGGCATCTTCCAAGAGTACAGAAGGGTACCCTTTTGGGGGTTGGTTTCTGTACAAGGGAACCCAGAACCAAAAACAAGCGCACAAAGGGTAGCACTGGGCTACCAAGATCAAGGGAGTAGGGACCCGGACAAGCAATCTGGGAATAACAAGGGTGCCCTGTTTTCTTCACGGGCCTGATTCAGTCCTCGCGGAAAAGGCTTACACCCTACCACCCTTAACCGTATAAGCCCGAACACCCTGCACTCTAAACAGTCCCAAACAAGAATGCCCTAAACGCATCCTAAGCTCAAAACCCTCAGTACCCCCCCCCCCCCCCCCCAATGATCTGCAAGAACCCAAAGCCCCAATGCACCCTAATGCGCTCTAGTATACTCCCTAAACCCTAAACCCTACACCCTAAACCCCGAACATACCCTGTAGCCCCAAAAAAAGCCTCAACTGAAATCGACAAAGCCCCTACTCAGCGGTGAAGGAGCAGGTTGCAGAAGTTCGAGCGCTGCTGCCTCCGAGTGTATTGGATGGTGGGGGTTAGGGTTTAGGGTTTAGGGTTTAGGGTTTAGGGTTTAGGGTTTAGGGTTTAGGGTTTAGGGTTTAGGGTTTAGGGTTTAGGGTGTAGGGTGTAGGGTTTAGGGTTTAGGGTTTAGGGTTTAGGGTTTGCTTGTTAGTTGCTGTTGCACTGCATGTGTTGCTGAAAGCGTATAGCCTTGTTTACAGGTGTGCTAAGTTGCTTTTTTGCTTTGATCCTTGCTGTTTCTTGGGCTTTCCTGGGAGCAAAGTGGCTGCCTAAGGTATATAGATGAAGATGGGGCGCGCATAGTAATGCTGTTTTAGGGCTTGGGGTCGAAGGTTTAGGGTCACGATGCAGAAAAGCTCCTTCATGACGCCCTAAACCCTAAACCCTAAATCCATGACACCCGAATCTCTAAACCCTAAACCCTAAACCCTAAACCCTACACCCTAGACCCTAAACCCTAAACCCTATACCCATAGGGCTAGGGTTAAGGGATTTGGGACAGGCCGAAAGCACCAGCCTGTGACGGCAGTACGCAGTGTACCTCAGCTCAATGCCGAGATTGGGCTCATAGGCTTTAGGGTCTATAGGGTTTAGGGTTTAGGGTTTAGGGTTTAGGCTTTAGGGTTTGGGGTTTGGGGTTTAGGGTTCTGTGGGTTCTGTGGGTTCTGTGGGTTCTGTGGGTTCTGTGGGTTCTGTGGGTTCTGTGGGTTCTGCGATCCTGGCATGTTTGTCGGATGAGGCTTACGCGCTGTGCTTCCCCCCCAACCCCCCCCCCCCCCCCCCCCCCCCCCCCCCCCCCCCCCCCCCCCCCCCCCCCCCCCCCCCCCCCCCCCCAACAGGAACAAAATCACCAAACCCCAAACCTTAAACTTGTTCTCCTGCGGGGTCGGCGGCTTGAGCCGGAGGCTCTTAAATTTAGGGTTTACACCACAACTCAACAATCCTAAGCCTTAAACTCCCAGGTGAAAAGGGGGGGTAGTATCGGATGCTGAGATATATAGAGATCCCTCCCACAATCGTGGTTTAGGGCACCGGGTTTAGGGTTTATAGGGTCTAGGATCCTAAGCCCTAAACCCGAAACCCTAAACTGACGACAGTGTTTCTGGTATTCTTGGGGTGGGGGGTGGGGTTCCACACTGTCGGGGTGCTTGGGAGACTCTGACAAAAGAATGTTTCAGAGAGCTAGCCAGATCATGAACAGAAACCAAACTCTAAACTACGACTTGCTTCAGACTCCCCCAAACATGTGAGATACTGATCTCTATATTTGCCCGACAAGGAAGACCTAAACCCTAAACTACCATTTGCTTAAGAAACCCACCCCCCGCCCCCCCAAAAAAAAGCTTGAACATCCCTATGTTAGCCCGACACGGAAGATGATCTTTATGTTTCGGGGGGTGGGGGGGGGGGGTCTTAAGAAACAAGTAGCAAACCCTACATCGCCCTTTTTGAAATCCCTCAGCAGTCGGGCGTCTCGGTCGTGGCTTGCTCAACCTTCAGCTTGGCCAGCTTCAGCCTTTTTTGCTCTAAGTCGTCTGAAGTGCATAGGGTTTAGGGTTTAGGGTTCAGGGTTTTGTGGGCACCCTAAACCCTAAATCCGAAACCCTCGACCCAAAAACGCTAAGTCCTAAAACCTAAACACGAACTTTGAAAGCTTTATATCGGGTTGCAGGGGCAATCATTCTGGGATCATCGGCAGTGGCTGCGCCCGAAAACGTCTTGAGCTAGGGCCGTGGAAAGACTCTATAGACCCTAACCCCTCACCCCTAACCCCTAACCCTTTACGACTACTTGCTTAAGAATCCCCAAAGAGTGTTTTTCTGACAAAACAACAAACAGCTATTGCCCTCATAAGGAAGAATGCTTTTGTGAATTTTGTGGAGGTTCTGAAGCACGTAGTAGTTTAGGGTTTAGGTTGAGAGTGTAGGGTTTGGGCACACCTAACCCGTAACATTCACAGAGCCTATCCCACGTAAGGGGTTTATTTACGTCCGAAACCCTGGGCCTACGCCTTGCCCAAAACCCAAAAATCCTAAATCACCAAAACCCTACAACTTCAGCCCTAAAACCCTGACATCCCAAATCGCCTAAAACCTGCATCTTGAAGCCCTCAGCCTGAACCTCAAACCTCAGCCCTGAAATCCGAAACCCCGAAACCCTGCGCCCCAAACCCCGAAGCTTCCAGACCCTCAATCTCAGCCCTAAACCCTAAACCCTAAACCCTGAAACCTGAACCCTAAACCCTAAACCCTAATCCCCCTAAACCCTAAACCAAAAACCCTAAACCCTAAACCCTAAACTCTAAACCCTAAACCCTGAACCCTGAACCCTAAACCCTAATCCCCCTAAACCCTAAACCAAAAACCCTAAACCCTAAACCCTAAACCCTAGACCCTGAACCCTGAAGCCCGAACCCTAAACCCTAAACCCTAATCCCCCTAAACCCTAAACCAAAAAGCCTAAACCCTAAACCCTAGCCCTAAACCCTAAACCCTCAGCCCTATAAAACAAATCTTGAGCCCGCCGCCTGGTCTTCGTCAGCAGCTCGCAGTTCGTAGGGCCGCGCCCCGACTCCTTACCATCCCTGGCGAGGTCCTCGGCTCTTGGGCCGGGGAGGGGATTAGGGTTAGGGTTTGGGTTTAGGGCTTTGGGGTTTATAGAGACGGTAAGGGGTTTAGGGCTTGGGGTTTAGGGTTTGAGGTTTGTTTAGGGTCTTGGGTTTAAGGTTTAGGGTTTGGTGTTTAGGTTCAGGGTATTCAGGGTTGAAGGCTTCGACGGCTTGGGTGTTGTAGGGGTTTTGGCCCTAGGGTCTGAGAGGAGAGAGGTCTAGCTTCGACCACCCCGAGCTAGAGGTAGGGTTTAGGGTTTAGGGTTTAGGGTTTAGGGTTTAGGGTTTAGGGTTTAGGGTTTAGGGTTTAGGGTTTAGGGTTTAGGGTTTAGGGTTTAGGGTTTAGGGTTTAGGGTTCAGGATTTAGGATTTAGGGTTTAGGGTTTAGAGCTTGCATTCCGTTGCGCTTCTTCCAGAACAAGCCTTAGAGTCCAGGCTTTTGGGCTTAGGGGTTTGGGGTTTAGGATGTACGTGCTAGTACTGAGCCTCAAGAGCTTTTCAACAGGCTTCTGTACCTTCGTCAGTTGCCCTAAACCCTAAACCCTAAACCCCTAAACCCCAAGACCCTAGACCCCAAACCCTAGACCCTTTGCTTCAGGTATGCTCCAGGCAGAGCGCCCCTTCGGAACCGTACCTTAAACCCTCAACCCCCAACCCTAAACCCTGCAACAGGCCTGAGCCCTGAGCCCTAAACCCTAACCCAAAAGCCCGAATTCCTAAACTCAGGGGTTCCCCTACTACCCCCGCCCACCCCCCCCCCTTTCTTACGGCTAATTAGAGAGAATTATGCCTCATTAAGTCTGTTAAGGGGGGAACAACCTAGACGGGGTAAGTAAGGAACCCCATGACAAACCCTCAACCTTAAACCCAAAACCCTGAACCCTAAACCCTAAACCCTAAACCCTAAACCCTAAACCCTAAACCCTAAACCCCAAGCCAAGAGCCTAAACTCTCAAAGCTCAAACGGTTTAGACAAGAGACGCTCGGCTTTCTCTGGCCGTTGCTCGCCAGGTAGGTCTCCAGCTCGTACTGTCGGGGCACATCGCGGCCACCCGAATGTCGTAACCCTAAACCCTAAACCCTAAACCGCCCCCCCCCCCCCCCCCCCCCCCCCCCCCAACTCTACAATTCCCCTAAGCCCCAAACCCAAGCGCGCGAGCCTCTGTCCAGAGTTTGGCCTCAGGTGGCAACGCACCTGGCATGTGGAGACAAACATCAGGGTTTGGGGCTTAGGGTTTAATGGTCTGGCTCTTTCAGAATGTAAAGGGTTACAGGGTCTCAGGGAATTTTAGGGCGTTGGGTTTTGAGGGGTGTAAGAGGGATGTTTGGGTCGTAGGGCTCTGAGTGTAGGGTTCAGGGTCTTAGGGTTTTAGGGTTTTAGGGTTTATGTTTGTAGGGCTTTAGGTTGGGGTCTTTGCGCTTCCTACTAGTTGCTCAAGAACACCCCCCCCCCCCCAGCCCCCCAACCCCCCCACCCAAACAAATAAACAACGATGAAAACAAACAATCCCTGTTTTGCCCTTATACCCTCAAACCCTAAGGTCTCCGGGCTTCGGGTTCAAGATTACGAGTACTGTCACTATGTTCATGAACTTCATGAACCCTATCTTCTGTCATCTTCTCTCCAGCTCCAGCGATGAAGGCCTTGATTTCTCGGATGTCTTGCTCCACGAAAGTGAGGCCCATCCGCTCAAGATACGCCACTTCGGCAGTCTGAGAGGCGCCCAAGCCGCTGTTCTGCCGAGCTCTCTCCTTCGCAGCTTCATCACAAAGCTGATCCCAGGGCACCTTTCCTTGGCCCTTGCGCTCTGCAAACATGAAGCTCCTGCCCGAGTTGTGCTGCAAGGTCCACGTTCTGCTTCCATTTCTCGAACCACTGGCACCCCCACGGTGCTCGTCCATCTTTCTCAACACACAGCTGCTGCGCGTTCCTTGCAGCCTCTGCAAGCTGGATTTGCCACTCGGTGTCAGACTGGTCACTCTTGATGACCAACAACTGGCCCATGGCTTCGGCATCGCTTCGCTTAAAGGAAAGCAGCTGTCGGTTGGCTTGACTGTCAATGTGTTCTGGCTCCACCTCCACTACACAGAGATATGTTTCGGCTGGAACTCGGCCGTAGATGCTGTGGCACCAACACTTCCCTGGCGTGTCTGGATTCTCCGAATGTCGTCCAAGGCCCGACTCGGCATCGGTCAAGAAGACGCACGCCAAAGACCACGGCTCCAGCCCTGTATCCACGGCCTGAGACGACACAGTTGACACAGCTTCGTCCCAGAGCTCACTGTACTTGCCTGGAAAAGACACGATGCACTTGGCAGCCGTCCGGTTTATATGTCCAGGAAAAGCTATGCGCTTGGACGCGAAGCCGAATCCTGACAAGTCCGCCAGCCTGCGGAAGGCGTCCATGGGTCGATTCCATTGCTTTGGCCCGACCATCCCGCTCAGTGTCAAAGTATTGCAGATTTGAAGAAAGATGTCCACCGTCAGCCATGTCGACCACTTCCTTGTTTCAAATGTGTCGGAGGACAACCAGTATCTAACCAAGGCCCAAACGCTCAGAGCAGTTCCTAGAAGCACTAGGAGCGCATTCCCGAAGAGCAAGAAGGCGGTGGATAGGATGGCCTCATCGTTACTAGGAGCCCGCAGCGCTGCACACGCCACAATGCACAGGCTGCAACACTGGATGCAGATAGTCCCGAAGAAGCACAGGAGGAAAAGCAGCAGAAGAAGCCCTGGCTCCATACCAAGATTGTCCAAGTAGTAATATGGGCCAACCGAAGTTTCTAATATGAGAAACATAACCCACCGACTGCCAAAGAGCAAGCTGGATGCGATGCCAATCAGGGCCGCGACCTGACACAGCTTTGCCGTCAGACGCCGGCCCAAAGCAAAGAGCTTAAGATTGGTCATGTGCACTTGCATGAAGTTGCAGCAATCTCCCACAACAGCGTACCTCCCAGTGTACCTCCGTTACAGACAATGACCATTGTGCGGTGGACGTGGCCGTGGCAAACGGACAACACCAAGTCGCGGAAACCTTCATCGCCCACAAAGAAGGCCAGCAAAAAGATCGCGCGGCGACTCCAGATATGTAACAAAGACTTTTCCGAAAATCGGTCGTTCTTGCGAATGAAGAAATAGATTCCCAATCCGGTCATCACAGGCCTCAGTACAGCATCACACGTCAAGTACAAATCCTCCGAACCAACTGCGTGAAGATTGGCAACGACCCGTGCCAAAGTGTAAGCTGCCAGCGCCAATCTTGCGGTCTTCGTGAGACTGACACGCTCTGAATGGGTCTCTAGATGCTCGCTTAGCTCAGCGAGAGTTGTCCTTCTGCGCCCTGGCCTGTGTGGCGGATGCTTTGCAGGCGCACTGGCCACCTGGCTGGCACCCCTCATGGGCAGCTCCACACCTTCCTCCCCGACGTCTCTGGCCGACATGGCTTTGCGTCCGGGAGCATGTGGGCTTCGGCTGATGCTTGAGGAATTCAAGAAACCCAAGCATCATGAAAAGCAAACACCTGCCATCACCATGCCTCCAAGCACGGTGAGCATTCTTCTTGAAAAACGCGATGTTTTTTTTCTACCTATATGGTTCCTCCTACAGGATGTGGCTTGACCACCAGTCATGCTGACACCACCCCGGCTTATGAAAATGATTGTCGTGGGACGTCCCACATTGCGCTCGAACTCCCTCAAAGCCATGCGACCTCCAATCCACACAGACCTTTCAAATCCCTTAAGCAACTCAAATCCTAGTCCTAAACCCCAAACCCTAAACCCGAAGCCCGAAACCCTAAACCCCTTAACCCCGCTCTGTTGGACTGAGCCTTTTGGGTTTTCTGAGTATCGGGCCTTTTGTTGGTTTTTGTTTCTTCTTGTACCCGCTCGAAAAACTGATTTCACTACGACTGCTCGCATTACTTAGTCATAGTATCACGATGAACTGTTTGCTGCTTGTGAGTGTCCTATCATATCTATGTTTATCTACAGACAGCAATAGCTACTTGTTTCGTCTGAAAACCCTAAACCCGAACCCTATAGACCCTAACCCTAAACCCTAGACCCTAAATCCAAAACCCTAGCGCTGAACCCTAAACCGTAAACCCTAAACCCTAAACCCTTAACCCTGAACCCTAAATACATCTTATTTCTTTCTTCACGTCGCCCTCCGAACTCCGAAGTCGCAGCTTCTTCCATACCCCTTACGTACTCCAAAGTACGAATGGCCTTATTGAAGGTTTAGGGTTTAGGGTTTAGGGTTTAGGGTTTGGGGTTTGGGGTTTAGGGTTTAGGGTTTAGGGTTTAGGGTGAGCGGATCCCCCTGAACCCTAAACCCCCAGAACGCTAAACCCTGCAAAGCCCGGGCCCCCAAGACCCCAACCCTATGAACCCTAAACCCGAAACCCTTGGTAGCCAGAACCGTAGAGCCCAAAGCGTATGAACTTCAAACCCTAAACCCGAAACCCTAAATCCTAAACCAAAGCGGCGAAAGAAGTGGACGGTTCGCATTCGCATCCGTACCCCCGAACCCTGCTAGCACACTGTGAGCCCTGAGTCCTAAATCCTAAATCCTAAATCCTAAGCCCTAAACCCCAAACCCGAAACCATGTGGCGCCTTTGAAGCGTGGATACTTCTTCAGAAGATCCTCCGTCCAGGCAGCGCGTAGGAGCTGGGTTTAGAGATTAGAGGTTGGGGTCTGGGGTTTAGGGTTTAGGGTTTAGGGTTCAGGGTTTAGGGTTTAGGGTTTGGGGTTTGGGGTTTAGGGTTTAGGGTTGAGGGCACTTGGGCCGAGTAGGCTTCCGTGCTCCAAAACCTGCTAAACTCTCAGCCCCTGGCCTGAACGAGACAGTACGTCTCTTCGGTGCGGGTAGTTCTCTGCAGTCTATTAGGTTTAGGGGATAGGGTTCAGATTTAGGGTGCAGGAACCCCTAAACCCTAAACCCCAAACCCCAAACCCCAAACCCTAAACCCTGAAAGAACCCCTAAACCAGCCCAAAGACCCCACAAAACTTAAAGCAAGAGAAGCTAAACACCCCAGAGCCTCAGAGGCCGAGTCAAAGCCCTTCAACCCCCCCCCCCCCCCTCCCAGGCTCCTAAGAACCCAAAAGACCCAAGCACTCCTCAAACCCGCGCCCTGAAACCCTAAACTCGAAACCCTAAAACCCTAAACCCGAAACCCTAAACCCTAAACCCTAAAACCCTAAACCCTAAACCCTAAAACCCTAAACCCTAAACCCCAAACCCTAAACCCTAAACCCCACCCGAGAAGCCAGACACCCTGAAACCCCCCCAACCCTCCTCGATGTCTGCATCCTCCAGGAGTGGGCCACCGAGGATGCTCATGGCCTGTCTCAAGGGTTCTTGTTGGGGGGTTTGGGGGGTTTGGGGGGTTTAGGGTTTAGGGTTTAGGGTTTAGTGTTTAGTGTTTAGTTTTTTTTTTTTTGTTGGGGGGGGGGGGGTTGGGGGGGTTTTGGGGGTTTAGGGTTTTGAGCGTGTAGGGTTTAGGGCTAAGGGCTCTCCGGGGGCCGGGCGGGCTTCTGGGGTTCTTCGCTTTGTGGCCAATTTCAGCTCGGGGATTCCGGTATGGGCTGTAGGGCTGAATTAAGTAGGTTTTAGGGTTTAGGGTTTGGGGCTTAGGGTTTAGGGTTCAGGGTTTAGGGCTGAATTAGGGTTTAGGGCTGAATTAGGGTTCAGGGTTTAGGATAAAAAGCTCCTGGTTGAGGTGTACCTCACTGCAACCGAGAAGTTGGGCATAAGCCCGGATGTCAACGTAAAGCCAGCCTGAACCCAACACCGCCAACACCCTAAACCCCCTGAACCCTACAGGGCCCCAGAGTCCTCCACAATCCTGAAACACTCACACCCTCGAGCCCCCAAATCCCTCAAATCTTAAACCTCCCTAGACCCTCAACCCTAAACCCCTATTAGCCCTGAATCCATGAAACCCCTCAATCCCTCACACTCTCAAGCCCCAAACCCGGTACTTAGTAACCCAGTCATAACTGTACCTATGATCCAATTAGGGTACTAAAGGGGCGAAAAAGTGGGTTACAACTGCACTTATGCTTGGGTTAAAAGTCGAAACCCGTGGCCAAGCCTGAACCGTCGGCACGGCGCCAGCGACTCTGCAGAAGGCGACGGCGCCGGAATCCAAAATTCAAAGCGACTTGCTCTAGCCTAACTCTAAACCCTAAACCCTCAGCCCTATAAACCCTAAGCCCTCAACCCTGAACCCTAGAATGGCGGCCTCACGCCTACAGCTTCCCCCCAAAAAAAACTGTCCATGGACCAGTCGACTCGAAACCCGAACCACCCAAAACCCAAGCCCGTGTTCATGAGGGCTTAGGGCTTCTTTACGTGCACCCTTTCGAACCTAAACCCTCCTCAAAGCTGCTGTGAAGAACCCTAAACCCTAAACCCTAAACCCTAAACCCTAAACCCTAAACCCTAAACCCTAAACCCTAAACTATATACTTGTCCTAATTACGGTCTGGAACGGTCTGGAACCCAACCCCAAAGCCATCCTGTCTTTTCGAGCCCGAGAAAGCAAAGCAAGCTAGGGGTTTGGCCTGTAGGGCTTCGGGTTTAGGGTTTAGGGTTTAGGGTTTAGGGTTTAGGGTTGAGGGTCAAGCTAGGAATAACAAGGGTACCCCTTTTTGGCTTATAGAGGCTGATAAGGGAACCCAAACCCTAAAAAAAGCAAATAAGGGCCTACAAAACCCCAGACCCGAGACCCTTGAAGGCCTCCTGGCATGTATTGTCAGTTCTACCGGACTACGGCATGATACCTTAGCTTTGGGGTAGACCCTGAAAAAAAGTATTCACTTTTTAGGTATAAGTAGCTTGAATAGGAACCCAGAACCAAAAAAACATATTAAAGTATAGTACTCCAAGACCCAGATACAAGGGACTCTCAGGACAGCCCTGATGTAGTGGAGGATCTTGCGGTTTCACTAGGGCTTTGGGGGTTCCTGGGTATATTGTCACTTCTAAACCCTAAACCCTAAACCCTAAACCCTAAACCCTAAACCCTAAATAGGAGTTGCGGAGTTGAGCGTGCCTATTTTGCAGTACGGAGCCTTGCCTTTAGGGTTCAGGGTTTAGGAATATTCCCCGAGGCCCGAGGCATTTGGAGGGTTTAGGGTTCCAGGTTCCAGGTTGAGCGCTTTTCCTACAAGCTTTCCCAGAAAATAGGGGTACCATTCTGGGGGTCCCCATAATAAGGACTAAAGTGTTTTGTGGTCTAGATTGGGGACCCTCCATTTTGGGAAACTACCCTAAACCCTAAACCCTAAACCCTAAACCCTAAACCCTAAAATCCAAACCCTAAACCCTAAACCCTAAAAGGTTTCAGGGTTTGGGGTGTAGGCACCTCAACCCTGGCACCAGGCGCAAGTGGCGTAGTCACCTGGTCAGGGGGTAAGAATTCCAAAGCCGACATTGTTGTTTAGGGTTTCGGGTTGACGGTGAGTTATGATGACATAACCATGTTATATGGACTTCTTAGGTGATTGCAGTATCTTGGAACCCTAGCAAGAGTAAAAGTAGGTTTTCGGCAAAGGAAGGGACATAAGAGTGCTTAGAGCCTGAGGACAAGGGTCGAGAATTTCAGGGGAGACTCAATCCTGAACCCCGAAGCCTAGAAACCCTAAACCATGTCGTTGCTGGTGGACCAAAAATGCCCAAAAACCCTAAGCCCTCAGCCCTAAAACCTGAAACTCTCCAGCCTCAGAAACCAAAAAACATTCGCTTTTGGGTGGAGTTTAAGGGTTAAAAAGGGTCTACAACCCAAGCCACAACCTTCACAACCCTCTAAACCTTGCCCAAAACACTCAAGCCTGACAAGACATATGGGGGGGGGGGGGGGTGTAAGCAATCGTAACCCAAACCCTAAGCCCCTCGAGTCGTCAGAAAGC